AAAAAAAAAAAAAAAAAAAAAAAAAAAAAACACAATAAAATACAAATAAACAAATAACAAACAAACAAAAAAAGGTGGAAAAAAAAAATAAGAAAGTACATAAAGTAAGCGTCATCAATGATCGAATGCACTTACCGTCAAAAATAACAGCGGCCCAGTGAAATTCTTGCGCTTTTGATTAGCATTCCATGATTTTTTAGCACCCACCAGACACCGAATCATGTATGCACACCAGTTCATCTTGCTGACATTCGACAAATCATCAAGCAAGTGAACTGTGCGTAAATTCGCCACTCCATTCTGTGAGCTCTCGAACAAACACGTAACAACGAGCACAACAAAATGACGCTTAAACCAGTCGTCGCTTCTATCACAGGTCTGAATCATCTCCAACACTTTTGTAGCCGTTATTTTGGTGGCAATGCTGACATTATACATATCGGCCCATTCTTTTAACGCTCCTGACTCTGTCTTTTTCTTCCGATTAGTAACCTCGATAGTTCCACGGGGCAGTCCAAGCACACTGTACACATCGTCCTCCTTCACGTGGATCTTTCCCCATCATATAATTGCAGCTTCCGGTCCATATGGTTGAAATTATCAACCAGCCAATATCCCATTTTCACCGGGGTTGCTGTTATCGTCAAATCGAGCAAGCATCCGAATCCCAATTCACGGACTGCACGTTTCTGGTCTTCGGACAAACCGAACACCGCCTTCACGAATATTGCTGGTGATGTTCTCGTGTGGACAGTCGGGAATGCATCATCGGTTTCTGCCCGGGTATCTTCCAATGAATGCGTACCACCTTCTCCATTAACGTTCCGCTGCACTCTTCCATTACCTGGAAGTTAAATAAACTTTTTATACAACCAAGTGTTGGGGTAATTAAAACAAATACAGAGTTCACGAGATGTACAACTTTATACCGTCTCTCATTGTCGTCTCTTGACAACGTTCTATTTGAGTCTGATTGGCGTCCTCGCTTTCTGGCAGTCTAGATATTTTTGCACGTTTCACACGTCCCTTTGCCTGAATCGGTGCAGCAATCTTACGCTTGTTTGCTGCGGTTTATCAAACATTGTATGAGCATAAATACGTACAGGTAATAAAATTACTTAAACTTTCAAGGCTCATGTACATTAAGATAGAATATAAATAACTGAATGTTAATATACCATCTCGTGCCACCACGTTTAAATCACTATCCCGTCGAGGCGCGCCGTCAACGAAATCATCGTCGTCCGAAGGGCCAGTCGTGTTTGCACGTTTTTTGTGTTTCTTAGGTTGTTTTTGTGCACCGATGTTCTGTCTGATGGCTGCGACAAAAATAACACAAATTTAAATGAACGGAGTAACTAATAAACGTATTATAGCCCAAAAAATATATAATAAACATATGCGTACCTCCCTGTGCATGATCGGCATCTTGTGGTACATTTTCTTGTTGAGATAAATTTAAACTCGCACGACGACGCGTCACTGAGATGATTGAAAAAAGTTACGAACACAACAAAAATAACTATGACATTCATAGACCACACTACAACAATATACCTATTGGAGCTACTGTATGTCCAACTGATCCACCGTCAACGACTGATTGTGCACCTATATCGTCATATTAACATAAGCCACATATAGATAACGTATGAAAAACATCACAGCACTGTTAGAAAAATAGAATCGTGACCTTTGTCGCCCGATTGTTCAATCGGCAGATCAGTTGACTCGTTGTTAATACCTGCACAATACATATATTAGAGTAATTAATTACACAATGAGTGTTACACAGCCTGTCAACTAAAAGTGTGACAGTCATGCTCTGATCAGGAAATTTATAAAAAATTGAGATATTATTATATTAATGTCAAAGGCACGTACAACTGAAATCCAACATGAGAGTCCATGCTATACAACAAAGAAATAGATCATGTATAAATCTTATCATATATAAGTTTTATGATAACACTAGTCTGAGGGAAGGAAATCTTGAAGATAAGGTCAGAATCATACTAGTAAATACACTTTATTATCAGAAAAACACATGTCCTGCAATCAAGTCATATCTTATTATACTAACTAAATGGATTTAATGGGTGGTTTATTGTTACTGCAGAATACCGCCAACTAACCCATACAAAGAAGCACAAAAGAAGTCACTAATACAAACCGATTTCTCCCAAACTGAACGCACTGAACAATTGGAAGATGAAAGTGCAAATCCACCATTTACAGAAGCTCAGAAGGCACACACCACAGAAAAATGCTTTGTGGAAGGAAGAACCAGAGGTGGAGACACCCATGGATATTGTTCATGTATTTTCAGAGAATACTAAGGCAACTCCTTTAACTCAGGACACAGAAACCACACACAACAACAAATATCTATACCTAAAGCGAAAAAAAATCAAGAAAATAGGATCATCCCAAACAACTAATTTATATGCTTAAAGCAAAAATGCAGATAACCACACCCAAACAACTAATTTTGACTATAAATATTGCATAATAATGCACAATATAACCTGTCATCCTCGAATGCCAGATCTCGAGATCTTAAAGTTCGTCCACTTATAGCAGGACCTTGAAATATATAAAAAAAAAAAACAAATAGACAAAAAATCGCTATCAACACGCTGAAAGTTGACAAAAAAAAAAACGTATCAAAATAGCTAGATCTGGAACAATCTCACCTGAAAGTTGATCGATGATGAAAATCGGAGTGAAAATCGGCTTAAAACCTCAAACTAAAGGTGAAATCAACGCCATTGACACCATGTTTACACTTTTCGAAGAGAGTTCTTGAGGAAGGTAATAAATGTGTCTGCTTTAATTTTGCAGTTAATGTGTTCGAAAACGAGGGTTTACCCCAATCTGTTATGTAAAATGATGGTGGTGCCCTCGGGACTGAATTCATCACCTAAGAGTTGGTATGTAATTACGATTATGCCACCGCCTGGCATCAGATTTAAGTGCGCCAGATATTTGATCTGAACCGTTGATTGGACAGATCGAATGGTGCAGATTCATTCTTATTTCTTTCACAAAGTCTTATTCTCATATGATCCCTTACCTATATATATATATATATATATATATATATTTCTTGAACGATAGAGGAACTATTATAAATTAAAAGCGCACAAAGTACGAATAAAGATACAAAGCTCCCAACGGGAGAATAAAATGTGAGGACAAGTCAGAAGACCGCCTAGAATCCCGCTAGCAACGCTAGAATAAAACTCGAAATTAAACAGACCAACTACACGACCAACTAAACCAACTAAAACAACTAAAATAAGTAAAAAGACCCCAACAGGGTAATACCCGAGTGTCGAATCCCAACAGGATAATAAGTTTAACACTCGGGTTCACAGGGGCCAACGGCCCAGACCAAAACACAATCCTAAAAACACAAATAACAGAAACACAAATCAACCAAAAACTAAAACAAATCAAAAAGGGGACAGAGCCTCCCCACCAGATACATCTAGATCTACAGAAGACAAACCAACTCCAGAGACAGCCCTAGAGCACGGAAACAACTGCCCGCCACTGCAGAAGGCCTAGCAAGACAGGTACCCACACCCCGGGACCAACCGAAGAGCTGGCCCGCACACCAATCACGTGAGGAGACCCACACGGCTCGGTTTCACCGAGTCAGTCCGTCTGAACCCGCTACCACTCATCCTAGCCCGAAGCGGCGGAATACAATCAAGCAGCCGAGCGCACACCGGAAGCAGTACCCTGACCCCAACAGTAACTACAACCCCTAACCGTGAACCGCCAAACCAATCTTGCCAAGGAAGAGACTGAAAGGTCCCGCCGATCACAAGACAATATAAAAAACCGAGACAAAAGCAGCAAAATTAAGGACAAACCTCCAATTGAACTGGAAGATGCCCCAGCCAATCGCCGCTTCGCCGGCGAAAAGGCACGCCGTGACCGACAGCAAGAAGGAAAAGCAAGGGGAATAAGTGGCGACCCAGCCAAAGCCGATTGCAGCTAACCCAGCCTCGTCCATGAGCCAAGCCCGCGGCCCAACCGTCACCGAAAGCAGCTGGACTCCGGCGACCTCCAAGGAAGCGAACCCGATGGCCGACGCCCCAACCAGAAACCGGCTTCAGCAACAGAGAAGAGAGCAGCCCCGCCATGGACGAGCGCCGGAGGCCGTCCTCCGACGGACCCTGACGTCCGGCGAGGGAGAATTGACCGACGAAATTGAAAGGGGGAGTGGCTAGGGTTTTCCGATTTCTGAGAACGGGAGCAGAGAGAGGTCGCATGTTGTAATAAACTATGTTCAATCGGGTATATATTCAAACGTAATATTTGCATATACCCAAAATATTCAAACATACTCATTTTTTGAAAAGACATTATATATTGCGTTTATAGTCAGTATATAACCTGATTTTTTATTTACATAGCATTTTTATATAACCACGGATTTGATTTTTTGTTCAGTATATAATATATCATATACATATCATAAATTGATCATAATAATTATTTTTATAAATTATTTTATTATATAGAGTATAAGATAAACAAATGAAGCACGGGCCAGATCATAAACACAGAAAGAACGGGCAGCGAAAACGTATAATGAACATATATTATCTATATACGAAGCATATACTGCCGAATGTGCTTAAGGGGAACATATACTGAAAAATATACTTTATATCAGGTGAAACATCAACAATCATTAATCATACATATATTAAATATAAACTAAAATAAAACCAAAGAATGAAAAAAAAAACTTTTATAAAAAAATCTGATAAACAAAAGTTTCCCCCGACGTTGGCGGAATCAACGACGAATCCGAGGACCCCGACCCGCCCCCCTCCTTCCTTGACCTCGAGGCCGCGATCAAGTCCTCCATCGGAACCTTAGTCAACGCCACCTTCCCCAAGCTTGACAGGAGGACCAGCGCCGGCGGACCACTATTTTCGGCCGTTGGAGGACTAGCGCGCCTCCTCGGTTTGGTGGTCGCCAATCGGGACTTAGGGTCACCTTACTCCTGGGGGTCTGCCAATCCATCATTCCGCCGACACTCGCTCATCCAGGCCGTGGGTCACCTGTTTTTTTTTTTTTTTTTTCTCAAAACGATAGATATTTATTATAAAACAAAATGCAAAAATGTGCGAATACAAGCAGCCACTAGCTGAATTGAAGCAACCAACAACTGAAAAAGTAGGAGGACGGGTCAGAAGACCGCATATAATCCCGGCGCTAGCAAAGATAGATTAACAAACTCGCAACTACTCTGACCCTACTACACAAATAAAAACAAAAACAATTAAAAAGATCCCACCAGGATAATACCCGAGTGTCCGATTCCAACAGGATAATAAGTTGAAACTCGGGCGCACTGAGGCCAAATAGTCCAACCCAAAAACACAAACTTAAACAACACAAATACGGGAACAAAGAGAGAAAAATAAAACAAAAGGACCTAAGCTACCTACTAACACGACCCTTCCCCAGCGGGATAGCCAAACCTAGCACAACGCACCAGCAAATAAAGGCAAATCATCCACGATTTGATCCGAAATTCATAACGCCACTCCTGCCACTGCCTAGAGCCTAACAAAGGAATAGTCCGGAACCTCGAACCTCTCTAAGAACGAAGTCAACCCAAGCTGGAGGAGAATAGACTAGCCCCCCACACACCAGCTACCCAAAACCCGGCCAAAACCACACTAGCCAAAATTTGGGCGTGCTGGAATCCCAAAGTCACAACACCAACGGCAATAGGGAATTGAGAGCAAAAAATGAACCTCCTCAGCCCCCGACCGTCACTTCTCATCCGAGTCGAGCAACCCGGGTCGTACCCAACACCCCAACCACACACCCCTCTCAGCAATCAGACCCAAACAGAGGAGAACCCTTCAAACTCACCGACAAACTCCATATTGTAGCAGGGCTGACCAAAGGACGCCGGGTATCCACCGTCAAGGCCTAGAATTGGACACAAATCGGCAGAGAAACCGTCGACTTCGTTGTCAACAACCGTACAGAATCGGAGCTAAGCGAGGTGTTGTCAGTATTTTTACAGGAGTAGAATCGAAAGATTCGTTCCCCGGGTCGTATCGCAAGGAAGGTTAGCCGGATTCAATTGTACGATTATTCGATCACGAGAAAGAGAAAATCCTAAACACTCTATTTCAATGGTTTTGGATTCAATTATAGGTAATGATTTAAAAATAAATGAAAAGCGATTTAAATAGCAAGTGAATTGACTCAAATGATTAAAGAGCTAGGAAATCGGGGACAATTGCTTTCGGTTCTAACACAACTACCGGCAATCAATTGCTCGGTTAAAGGACTTGAATCGTTTCTCGTCCAGAGGTTCACTCTTAATAACTCTTCGTAACAAGAGAGTGAACGTACACGATCAACTATCAATTTCAACAACTCATAGACAAAACTTTTACGAAAAAGTCTACCCTAAACGAGCCTAGGCCGACAAACGTCTCCCCTCTCGGTTCTACACATTTATTGATTAGGTTAGAAAGGTGATCAATCAACTAACCCTAGAATAAGCACAACTCGAGTAGGCATGAACAATCAAAAGCAAGCAATCATTAAACGAACCTAATCAATCATCCCCTATCCCTAGCGAATGGATTTAGCTACTCATATAGAATTCAACATCAAAATTCATATAAACCCAAGCCATCATCATCAACACACAATTGAGAAAACAAGAACTTACGATTAATTAAGAGAATCCCAATGTCGAATCCAATGAACAATCCAAATCTAAGCTAGAAAACACAGTCTCAATCTCCAAAATCCAATCAAAGGAGAAAAAGTATGAAAATGAATGAGTTTCTAGAGAGAAAAAGCATAAAAACAAAGTCTGGAAGTCGAATAATGATCTCTGTGTCGAAATTCTGATATAAAAATCCCGTCCTCGAAATTCACACCGCGTAAGTCGCGAGTCGCAACTTACCAAAATCCCATCTCGCGAGTCGCGCGTCGGCAAAAATCTTCAAAATGTGGGGAAAGTCGCAACATGTCTCGCGAGTCGCGACCATAACTCGCGAGTCGCGACTCGCCTCGCGATCCACTCCTTTAGTCTCTGAAAATCTCGCGAGTCGCGAAAAATGCTGGGCTCCTCTTCAGTCTGTTTTTTCGGTCCTTCTTTCAGTGCTCTGGGCACGACAATGGGTATTCTTGATATCACAGTCTCAGCTCGAGCAATCTCATCCTCGACCGACACAACCTACCTCTTGAAAACACAAACACGAAGAAAAACACGAAGCAAAACAAAGCAAAGAGACACAAATAT